TCAATGACCCGCCATCGGTGGGTGGCCTCTGTCCGTGGCGTCAATGCGGATTTTATAGGAATTCGCTTTTTCAAAATCCAGAGCCTTTCGAATTGTTACTTCTCCAGTATTTGAATCTATGCTAAACTGGTCAATAATCATGGGTGGAACCGGGCTATTAAAAGAGTATGAAATCTCCCGATTAGCTCCTTCGTCGGGATCAGAAGCATTCAGTCTGATAACTATTGTTCCGTTGTCTGAGTTTTCGAATATTCTTACTTCATATTCAGACTGGTCGAAACTGGGAGCATTGTCATTCACGTCCAGCACAGTGACCAGCAGCTGAACGGTGCCAGTAAGCTCAGGTTTGCCTCCATCAGTAGCTGTCAAGAGTAAGTTATGTTCGGGAATTTTCTCTCGGTCCAAAGATTTCCTTAACACAAGCCCAATTTGTGTATTGTCATCACGGTTTGTTTTCACCTCTAGTGCGAAGAATTCACTAGAACTAAGTTTATAACTTATAATGGAATTTGAGCCAACGTCCTCATCTGTCGCGCCCTCTAGTGGAATCACAGAATCTGGCAGCCTAGATTCGTAAATCAACACTCTTTGTTCCTTTACCAGAAACAAAGGTGGATTGTCATTAATATCTTTAATCTCCACCTGCACGTGGAAAACCTGCAGCGGCCTCTCCACGATCACCTCCAGGTGGATGCTGCACTCCAGGCTCCGCCCGCACAGCTCCTCGCGGTCGATCCGAGAATTCACAAACAAAATGCCATTCTGCAGATTTACTTCCAGAAGGTCCCCACTGCCTTTGGACGCCACCCGGCACAGGCGCGGCACCAGCTCCTCCAACACCAGTCCCAAGTCCTGCGCGATGCGGCCCACGAAAGTGCCGTGTTTGGCCTCCTCGGGGACGGAGTAGTGGACCTGACCGCTCACAGCCTCCCAGATTGCAAGGAACAGAAGCGAGAGCAGCAAATACCGGGATCGCAGTCGGCCTTTCGGGGTTATAACCATGACAAATACTTCTTTTATTTCCATCGGAAGTACTTGTGTCAGCATTAAGATGAAATACTGTATGATCCGAGTCTGTTAATCCAATTCTTCTGCGCCCGCCATCATTCAGCGATGCAGTAATAAGAGGAAATGTGTTTAAATAATAGCTAGATGTAACTTCACGGTAGACAGCGACATCACGTGGCTCCAAAGGGTAAGTAAGAAATGAATTCACAAAACCGCGCTCTGCTATAGTTCTTCAAATTAAAAATAAATTTTTTTGCCTTTTTTTAATAGTAAATCTCCTTGTGTTTGTAATTTACAGAGTCAGTTTAATCTAGTCTGACTTATTTTATTAGAGTAGAGTAAGGGATTAAATTATTCATAGTGAAACAACTTTCCTTCCAATAATTTAAATACTGTTATCAACCAGTTTAGAAAATTTTAGTGTGATTCAAACTAGGCTTGGGAATTAGAAATGCAAAATAGCCTACACACTTTTTGTAGAAAAAAATGCGCATGTTTCTGTCACAGGTCATGCTGTTATATTTTGCTCTGGTGAAAGAATGTTATTTTAAATTAACAAATTTTATCCAAATTTTTAAAATCTTATAAATTATTAAAGTCCGTTCTTTCTTTGTTCAATGACTATCAAATACTCCTACAGATGTTTCTTTAATAATGGAAGATAAAATTTTTAGTATATTCTTTACATTTCTTAATTTCTCTGCAGTTTATATTAGGCCTCCCCCTCAAAACATGTTCCTTCACATAATTCTCTATCACTGCAAATTCTGATGGTTACTACCCACTGTTCTTTGCTGCTCTGACCCTTCAGCTGCTCTTAAATGACCTCACCCTTTTCCCTCAACCTCAACTTTTTATATGCTTTCCTTTAAGTGTTCTCATCACTTCTAATGTTTCAAATAAATTTTATTGAACGTATCCCAAACTCTCATCTTCATCCCTCCTTTCTATGGTTATAATTGTCACTTTCACCCATACATGTTCATGACTCCTAGAAAATAATTTAATTACAATTTAAAACTATTAAGAGAAATCATTAATAACCCCCAAATTCAAACTTTTGAAATTCTCATTTTCTTTAATGGCATGAACATTCTACATATCACCAATATGAATTTTTACTTACCCCCTTCTCCCTTACCTGCCTATTCAAAGTCTGTCTACAGTCCATCTGTCTTTTCACATACTACTATATTTGTCTTCGTGGCTACAGTTTTTATTGAATGGCACTAAATGCAGAAATTCTAAGACATTAGAATCACCTCTATGTGATTAACATGTGCAATATTTCCAGTGTTATTTTCAACTACTTTCCAATGTGAATTCACTTTTGCAGACATAATAGATCGCTTGCTTGTCTTCTTCCTCAATATGATCTTTGTTCAAGCTGTTTTATAAAATTACCTCCATCTTTACCTGTAAAAATGTTACCTTCATATCAAAGTAAAGCCCACATGTCAATTTCACCATGAATTCATCCTTAATGTCATGAACTGGATGTAATTAAACTCTTTTTCAAAAGGAGAAAATGAGAGTCACCAAAAAGACTTTTCAAATGGACACATGCCAATACCACCTTCTTTCAAAATTCTGATAAACTTGTAATATCTTCACAGACAACTGTAATACAAAGCTCCCTCTCCAGCCCTAAAAGTTCCACTTTAAAATAATTAACCTAGACTTATGTAGTAGTTCTTTTCACTGACTTTATATTGCAGTTATTTTGGGTAAGCAAAGAGTTCATTTGCTAACCAATAATAACCCCCCAAATAAAAGGTTCCTTTGCTTGCAGGCAGATAGGTCTTGAAGAAGCTATATTGACTTGCGGCCTTATTGTTGAAAGTTTTCTATAGTGGTTAAGATTTTTCATAAAATTTATCCTAAGTGAAGAGTCTCTTCAAATTTCAACTTTTGAATTAGTTAATTAAAGTTAAATATCAAGTTTATCTTTTCATTTTAGTTCCTAGCCATTTTCAAAATGTTTATAATATAGTCTGATTAATTAGAACAGTTGTAATAATTCCATTTATTGGCACCAATAGGAAATTATACAATGTTAATGAATTCCTTCATGTAAATAAATTTACATGGAAAAGGAAAATACTGGTCTTCTCATGAGAAACAGCTTATATTTTTGTTAATTTCTTTACAAAAAATAATTCACTCTAGTCAAAGGAGATTATGTCCAGAAAAAATTAGTCACTCTATAAACAACTTCCTCTCTCACCAAAGAAAGATCTCAGTTATAATATATTGCAAAGAGTTTAAAACTAAATTAACTTAATTTTTTTTAATCTCACAACTGTTAACTACAAATTTATGCAATGGTGAGAGCTCCTTTCTCAATTTTTATAAATTCTCCCAAAGTAATGAGGTATCAGAAGTATTTAAATAGTATGATACAAGTGTATTTATGAATTTAAATATATATGAGAATGCAAGACTAGGCAAAGATATAAAAAGGAATTTATATTTTATCATATGAAATGTGAAATATTTATTGCCTGATGAACTCACATTGTTCTTTCAAGAAGCATAGAAAATAATTCTCTCGATTTGAGATGGAGGGCATCCTTGCCTCTAGTACATTCAAATGTGCAGCTTTCTTATACAAAATTGTATTGCTAAACAACAAACTCAAGAGTGGAATTTATATAATGATACACTTTTTTAAAATCTGAAAACAAAAAAAAAAGCAACAAAACAAAATTTCTAATTCAAAAGTATTGATTTTCCAAAAAATGAGAGTTTACAATTTTTCTCACCAACATAATAATATGAATTTGAAAACAATTCAAGTTAGACAAAAAACTAATCATTCTTCCACAAACTTGATATTAAGTTAAGGAAGAAATTATAATATATATGCAAAATGGGACACCATAGAACTGGAGAAATTTAGAAATCTCTTTAAGTAATAATATGTCATGATCACCAAGATATACTGATTAAAACAAGAGGAAACGCAATATGAATATTATGCATTAGAACAGGAGAAGACACTTTATTTGTAGATAAAGAAAATAGCTCCAGAAAGATAACCAAGGTATTGCTGTTTGAAATATTCAAAAGGTGTATTAAGTGGCCTGATAGAGGAGGTGGAAGGAAAACATTTTAAACCATGTAAAGGGTTTAAACCATGTAAATGTGTTTCCTATTCAAAAGTGAAAAAAATGAAGCTATTCAAGCTAAAAAGTTTAACTACAAATAAATTCATCATGACTATGCAAAGGCTAACTGTTTAAACTAGGCTAACTGTTGAAAAGAAACATTCAGTGCTCAAATATTACTAAAAAATCAATTAAATTGGTGTAAAAGAACTAAAATATTTTAAATTCAACAGAGAACGAAAGGAAAACTGACTCAATGATATAAAAATCTTTTGGTGTCCCATAAAAGAGACTTGGAGAATAAGTAATAACTTCAAGCATGTCTTACAAGTATCTTCCTATATTTCTTCAATATTGAAAATTTAAATGTTTATTAAATTGAATTTCTACTCTAAGTGGTAATCACATAATAGAATATAGAGATATCGAATTATAATGTACACCTGAAAATTATATAATTGTATTAACCAATGTTACGCAATAAACTTTTAAAAAATTTAATTTCTGAAATACTTTCTATCATGGAAAAAAAACGAACCCATTAACTCCAACCTCCAAAAACTTATAAAAAGGAGAAATGTTACTGAAATCGACTCTATAATGCAAAGCAATTATCTCCAAAAAACTGAAGTGAATTTTAAACATAAGAGTAATTTTAAGTCAATGAGTTAGTACTAACAGAGAATTTACAACTAAAAGAATGTTAAAATTAAGTATAAAGCCATAATTTAAAACAAAAAGAGAAGATGTAGAAAAATATTAAATGTCTAATAGTAAAGACTTACGATGAAAAGTTACTTATAAATAAGATTTTTTAGACTCACGTTGTCTGAAGAGCCAGGGCCCTGAGGAAGGCTGGGGCTGAAGGCCATGAGGTCGGTCTTCGGCGGGCCCTCCCCAGAACACTCCCTCTGCCGCCTCTGCTGCGAGTATGACCAGCTCCCCACCGCGCTGGAGCACACCAGCATGGGCTTCCCCGGCCCGCACGCGCCCTCAGTGGGCGGAGCCGAGCACCGCAGCGCCGTGTACAGCAGCAGCGTGAGCACCAACAGGCTGGACACCGCGCAGATGGCGATGATCAGATACACGTTCACATCCACCAGCGCCTCTTCCACGCCCACGGCGCCCACAGAAATCCGCAACGGGGTCTTCGGCGGCTGGCCGCTGTCCACCAGCGACAGCAGCACGGTGGCGGTGACCGCCAGCGCAGGCTCGCCGTGGTCCTTCACCAGCACCAGCAGGCGCTGGCGCGGCGCGTCCGCCTCGTCCAGGGCGCGCGTCGTGCTGATCTCGCCCGTGTACAGCCCCACGCGGAACGGGCTGTGAGCGCCCCCCGCCTCCGACAGCAGCTCGTAAGACAGCCACGCGTTGTAGCCCGAGTCCGCATCCACCGCGCGCACCTTCGCCACCACGTGGCCCGCGCCCACAGAACGCGCCAAAGGCTGGCTCACCGCGCCGCCCCCGCTGTCAGACCCAGGCGGCAGCAACGCGGGCGCGTTGTCGTTCTCATCCAGCACGAACACCTGCAGCGTCACATTACTGCCCAGAGGAGGCACGCCCGCGTCGCGCGCGCTCACCTGGAACTGCAGCAGCTCCACCTCCTCGTGGTCCAGTGACTGCAGCGCGAACACCTTGCCGCTCTCCGCGTGCACAGATACGTAGCTCGACAGCGCACGCTCGCCCACGCGTCGCTCTACCAGCGAGTAGGACACCATCGCGTTCTCCTGCGCGTCTGCGTCCTGAGCAGACACTGTGAAGATGTGGCAGCCGGGCGGGTTGTTCTCCTTCACGAACACCGTATATTCGGAATGCGCGAACGCCGGCGCATTGTCGTTCACGTCGGCCACCTCCACGGACACGCTGGCGGTGGCCGACAGCGAAGGAGAGCCCCCGTCCTGCGCTGTCATTACCAGCTCATAGTTCGCCACGCTCTCGCGGTCCAGGGCGCTGTCCAGCACCAAGGAATAGTAATTCTTGAAGGTGGGCACTAGCTTGAAGGGAACGTGGGGCGACAGGGTGCAGGTCACTTGCCCATTGGCACCGGAGTCGCGATCGGACAGACTGATCAGGGCAATGACACTGCCCAGTGGAGCATCCTCTTGAACAGGCAGAGATAGGGAGGTTATGACCATCTCTGGAGTATTATCATTCTCATCCAGGAGTTTCACTATTACTTTACAGTGTCCACTTAACGGGAATGCACTTTTATCTACAGCATCAATATTAATTTCATATACGTTACAGTCTTCGTAATCCAGTTCTCCTATAACTGTTATTTCCCCACTATTGGAATCGATTATAAATTTAGATTTTACGTTGTCAAGAACAAGATTACTAAAGAGGTACACTATTTCCTTATTAACACCCTCATCTGCATCTGAGGCGTTCAATTTAATAACTAACGTCCCATTCGGTGTATTTTCCAGTAACTTAACATTGTAAATAGATTTATCAAATTCTGGAGCATTATCATTTGCATCCAATATATTTATCAATAACTGAACTGTACCTGTTAATTCAGGTTTTCCTCCATCAATTGCAATCAATAATAAACTATGTTCTTGCGTTTCTTCTCTATCTACTGGCTTCTTCAATACTAGCTCTAAAAAGTTCGTTTGTTCTTCATTTGCTTTAACATCCAAATCAAAATATTCATTAGAATTTAACTTGTATCTCAATTCTGCGTTTGCTCCGATATCCATATCAGATGCGCCCTCTAGCGGAAATCGGGAATCCACTATTCTTGACTCTAAAATAAATAATCTTTGTTCTTGTCGGAAGAATCTTGGCGGGTTGTCGTTAATGTCCTTCACCTCCACCTCCACATGGAAAACATGCAGCGGCCTCTCCACGATCACCTCCAGGTGGATGCTGCACTCCAGCCTCCGCCCGCACAGCTCCTCGCGGTCGATCCGAGAATTCACAAACAAAATGCCATTCTGCAGATTTACCTCCAGAAGGTCCCCACTGCCTTTGGACACTACTCGGAACATGCGCGGCACCAGCTCCTCCAGCTCCAGCCCCAGGTCCTGGGCGATGCGGCCCACGAAGGTGCCGTGTTTGGCCTCCTCGGGGACCGAGTAGTGGACCTGCCTGCTCTCAGTCTCCCAGGCTGCAAAGAGCAGAAGCGAGAGCAGCAGACACCGGGATCCCAGACTTTTTCTCTGGAAATACACCATCGCAAATTTGGTGCTATCTTCAAATTACTTTGCACTACCACGCAATAGCTTTTGGAAACTTAATTCCCAATTTGCTCAATTTTTAATTTCCTCACCTTCCAGCTTCAGCAGCAAAGAGTGCAGTAGCCTTTTTATTTTCTGACTAAAGAATAAAAACTGACTGTATTCCTTTGTTGTTTAAAAAATAATACAAATGCGGTTTCCAGCGCCACCATGTGGACGAAAGGGTGAGTATTTTACTTTGTTATGCTTTATTAATCTTACATTCGTTTAATGTTTCTCAATTTCAATGACATGTATTCTTTATTTCCCTGATCTCTAATCAAAATATATCATTAAAATTTTAATAAGGTATTATTTTTCATTAAATATTCCGAAATCAATACTCATAGGTCGTGTCACGCCAATCTTTACTAAGTGATGTGTACTGATTTATTTAGGGAGAGGCTTTATGTATTCCTTGGCTGACTTTAAAATTTTAGTTTATTTTTTTCATTTCTTTTCATGTTTAAATATATCTTATTAAAATTTATGGGGTCTTCTCTATTATTTTGATGATATGTTTGTATACTAGTTTTACATTACCCTTAAAACAAATTTACATTCTTATTTTGCAGCATTTAATATTGGCTTTTGTTGATGTTATTTCCAAAATAACTAAAACTATTCGAATAAGATTCTTGTCTGAGTTCCATTTTGTAGTCTTATTTTCAAATTGCTAAAAATTCATTTCTTTAATTTCTCTCTATATCGCCTAGCTACTTTTACTATTGACTGAAAAAATCGTAATGTGGAGATTAAAATTTTCTAGAAGCCAAAATCATAGTCATTCAATTTTGATAAGCATCTTGGCACTATTTTCAAATTAGATGCATCTAGACAGCATTTCTCAAGTTGATATTATTAAGTCAGGGTTGATACAAATTGTGAAAGTGCATATATTTGCTTTTATGCTGCAAATCAATATCATAATATCTGTAGATATACTACTCCATAAAATGTTTGGGCTCTAGTAAAAAATAAAACGTTGAAAAGAAATCAATCACATTGTTAGCCAGGTTAATTCTCTGTAAATTTCATCTCTTTTAATCCTCCAGTTGATTTGCTGTATACCACTTGGATGTCACTTAACAAATATAGCCAGAAGAAAATACACCCCTCAAAAGTCAGCAATCTTTCCATATTTAAATGGAAAATATTTAATCCTCTACTTGTGTATATACTCCCTAGAATTCCTTAAATATTACAAAATCTTTACCTGTGAAGACAAGAGGATCACGGAGATCAATAATTCTATTACTTGATACTTTTACATGTAAAGCATAAACCCCAAATATATTTCCTTAATTTTGGTGTAAATCATATATGAGACTTGAAGTATTTTTGTGTGCCAATGTAGAAAACAACTATGGAAAAGTGGTAATGTAAAGAGTAGCTTGAAAAGAAATAAGAAATTAATAGAAAATACAAAATCAATTGGAATTAATTTGTTTCCCAGTATTCTTCCCAGTATTCAAAAAAATAATGGAAAAATTTAAGATAATGTTACCAGATTTGTTTCTGATATAAACTTTAAAGCACATTTATCATTCATTTAGTTTTTGAAAGATTCTTACTATCTCTACTATCATGATTTTCACCTTAGCATTCAGATCATCCAAACACTAAAGAATTTCAACACTAATCAATTTTCAAGACTATGTACGTAACAACTACTGATAATGATAACTTTTTAATATTTTAATACACGACATTTTAATACACAAGAAAATGATAACAAATATGTCAAAAATATTATCAGGTAACATTGACCTTCTATTATAGAACCATAACTGATGTGAAACTACAAAACTACACTATAAATAAATTTACTTTTGAAAAAAGTAAATATTAAATGTTTAACAGACAAACTGATAGTATGGTATTTACAATGTATGCATAGTAATTGTATACACAGAATACTTCTAGTATATATTTAAATATTTTTTAAAGATACCAAATAGAGAAAATGCCATCAATATTACATGCCTCTTTCAGTTTATATTTTTTTCTTGTAAATATAAAGATATTTCAGGAGAAAACAAGACTCTCGACATTTGACCCCTTTTCACATCTGTTAGATTATATTTGTTAGATTATCTTAAGTTTTTGAATTATCACCTACATTTGTCTTTCAACATTCAACTCTTTTGGGTAGGGGGTTACTCTCTCAACAATTATAGACTTTCTAATCTTAATTCCATAGATGACTCCATATATAGAGAAAATTCTTTAAATCTTTTTCCAAATCATTCTTTTAATCCAATATTATAGTTTAGTTTATTGACTGATCTTTTCACTACCTAGTGTCTCAAGCAATTTCAGTTATATTTAACCCTCACTACAGATTAAAACTCCTTCCTTGATAATGAATTTAGGGTAAAGAAACCAGATAGTGTTTTGAGGTGTCTCTATTAATTTACTGGGAAGGATTTAGAAAGATTTCACACTAGGAAATTTAATTTTGCATTGGAGTCTAGATGTCTTTGTTTCTACAAAACCAGAATAAAATTTTATGTTGTATTTCTCTCCTATCTGTAGAAAACTATGTAGGTCTACCACACTGCTGAGAAATAACAAGCAATCTTTTAAAGATTTATAAACAATTTATGCAGCTACATAAAATTTGACCAAAAAATTTAATTATGTATGGAAAATAATTTATCCTATGAAAGCACATTGTGTTTTGTACATATATTTATGTTACTTTTAGAATGATTCAACTTCTCTATAAAATATTGAGCTAAAATATTTATATTATATATCCATTCTGGGATAATTTTAAAGTACTTCTGAAAGAAATAAGTAAATTAAATTAAGGATAGTTTTTGCTCAGAACCCCATTGCCTTCATTAGTGCCAAATGAGCTTATTTAATGGTAGAAAGGGACAATGCAGCTAAATTCTAGAACTTTGTGGTTTATTCTATGTATTCACATTAATATCCATGTGGCCTTAGGTAAGTTTTTTGTCTCTGAGCCACAGTTTATCATTAAATTGAGAGAAATGACAAACTCTTAGGTCAAATCCAGTTTTAAAATCTCAGATCAAATGAGTGGAAACTTGAAGTGCAGAATTCTTATAGTATTAGCCAGTGTCCAGGGTAGAAAAGAATAGAGTTATTAAACAGCAATAAACTTTAATAGTCTTGGTTCTTATTCAGTGGTGGAGAGGAAGAAAGAAGGTTTTAAAATAAAGTTAAAATATGTATTCTAACTTTACTTTATATGAAACTATAGAATAGAATTGGAGAACAAGTAGGAGAGAGAAAAATAAAGTGTTCAGAAGTTTTATAATGACAAACATCACTGTAGTAGTTAAAAAAAGAAAAAGAAAAATTTATCTCAATTCAAGTCAAAACATAAATGCCCTCAACCTATATACATCAGATATTTATAAGTTCCTTACCCATTTCTAGAATATAACTACATCTAGAACAACCATAACTTCCCATGCACAATATCCAAAATTCAATATATTATCATAAGAAAAAATGAACAATAAAAAAGACATGTAGCTAATCCAATTATTACAGTGATCTAGCAGATCACAAATAAATTGTAATTAATATAATGTAATAAATACATAATAAAGAATTTCACCAGAAAACAGTAGTCTATTTTTAAAAGAAAAAATATAATTCTAAAGCTAAAAAATGTCACAATAACAATGTAATTTCAATTGATGATTTTAATTATATATTGAAATAAGAGAAAATTGCTGAAGTAGAAGACTGATCAGAATAAAAATTCAGCATGTAATAAAGAGATCAAAAGTGATTTTTTTAAAAGGTAGGGTATAGAAGATATAAGAGATATGGTGAAAAAAATTAACATGCATATCCCTTGAGTTAGAGGAAAAGAAGAGAAAAACATGAAGCAGAAGCAATATTTGAAGGCAGATTGCTGAAATTTTTTATACTGTTGAAAGACATCAAGCCACATATTCAAGAAGCTTTCAAAACTGCAAGATAAAACTAAAAAAAAAAAAAAAAAAAAAAAAAAAAAAAAAAAAACCTTAAGAATAAAAGCAAGATAAAAGTAAAGAAAACTAAATGGAAAAAAGCAAAAGAAAGCTAAAGAAAATTAAAACTGAGCATATAATAAAGCCATTGAAAATCAAAAACAAAGAAAAATTATTAAATAGCAGCTTGGAAAAAAGAGAAAAAGGGCACACTGCCAAACAATAAACTTGACAGCCACCTCCTCAAAAGAAGGATATACAATGTCATCTTGAATGTTCTGGGAAGAAAATAACCTCCAATCAGAATTTGATACTCAGCAAAACTATTTTTCTAAAGTGATCGTGAAATAAGCATATTTCTGCTTTACAAGAAGTTAGGAGCATTCTTAACCACGAGAAATATATTATTAATATTATATTTGACATTGTACTAGTGGTTCTACCTAATATAATAAGACACAAAAGATGTAAAAGATGTAATTGGAAAGGAAAAAATATAACCATCATTATTTTCTGATGGGATCATTGCCTACATGAAAAAATACAAAGCACCTATAGGTAAATTACTAGAACTCGTAACATATCAATACAAAAATATAATATATATATTCATCATTGTTAAACAGAAATAAATTTTTAACTTAAAGTTGATATTTATAATGATCACAAATTGCAAATACCTAAGAATAAATCTAAAGAAAGATATATAGAACCTTTACATAGAATATTAAAAAATAATTAAGAAACATTACAGATTATTTAGATAAATAGACCATGCTCATGAATGGAATGACTCATTATAGTAAAGATATCAACTAGCTTCATGTTCCTCAATACTAGATTCAATACAATCCAAATCAAAACTTCATAAAGTTATTTTTATGGAATTTATATGCAAATTTAGGTGGAAATAAAAGAAGCAACATTGTGTTACTGAAAAAAAAGTTAAAAGATTAGAAGAGAAAAACGCCATGCTTATATAATGGACAATCGTTTTGTAAAAATATGTGGAATTCATTTTTAAGAAGTGGTCTTGAATGTCCACTTGAAAGTTCTTGGGGAAAATTAATCTTGATCCCAAGCCACAGAGTAGAAAAGAGCAAAATCAAGAAAGGTTTATGTCTAGAATATAAGAAAATTGTAAAAAGTAATAGAAAGGAACAGGACAAAATAGATAAATGGACAAGAGACTTGAACAGCTATTGCACAAAATAAGATATAAAAATGGCTAATAATAATACAGGAAGGTGCTTAACCTCATTTATAAATCAGAAAACAAAAAATGGGAATCTTAAACATACCCAGCAAAATGACAGTCATGTAAATAATCTGACAACGTCTAGTTTTGGAGATAGGAACTCTCATACACTCTAACAGGGGTTTAAACAAATAAACGCATTTGGGAAAATTGGCATGATCTCTTAAAGATAAAGATATGTAAATATTCTATGTTTCACTAATCTCATTCTTAGTTAAATAATAGAGAAAAGTGTGTACATAGGCAATAAAATTTTTACAAATATATTTATGGTAGTATTACTCTTGAAATAGACATTAAAAACAATGAAAATTCACAACAGTGGAGAATAAATAACTCATATGCTATATTCATTAAAAGACCACTAGAGAGAAAATAGTTGAACTCCAACAAATATGGCAATATAGATGATTCCACAGAAAAATGAATGATAAATATGAGAAATACACAAACATATGTACATATATAACATATTTTACTTAATTCCATTTAGATAAAGTTTAGGAAACAGGTCAAAATTAACCACAGTTATAAAGTTAAAAGAGTGGCCATGTTTGGGGGAGAAAAAAGAAAAAGTGATTTGGAAGGTGCATTTGAGTAACTTCTGGAATGGAGGTAACAGGAGTTTTCACTTTCAAATAATTCATTGACCTACGTTATTCTGTCTGTGCACTTTTCAATAGAAAAATAAGAAGACACTGCTCTCCAAAATGTTAATTACAATTGACAATAAATAGGTGAAAATTGCACAAAATTTTAAACACTAGTTATATAAAGATACATTTAATAATGATTAGAAACGAAAAGAACATACATTACCTTGGTGTCAAAATTGTACAATATTTTAGTTAAAATGGTATGTAAGAAGAGTAAAAACAATTTAAGACAGAGAAACATGAATCTGAGAAATTTTTAATATTAGAAATAAATTGATAGAATAAAAGAAAACGAAACTTTAGATTAAATAATTCAGATTAAATAAAGAATATTTACAAACTAACCTTAGAAAGAGAATCCAATTGCCCCAGATTCAGGTACGCTGGGACTAAAAGCCATTAGGTCGGTCTTGGGCGGGCACTCCCCAGAGCACACCCTCTGACGCCTCTGCTGAGAGCACAACCAGCTCCCCACCGCGCTGGGGCACACCAGCGTGGGCTTCAGCGGCCTGCAAGCGCCCTCAGTGGGCGGAGCCGAGCACCGCAGCGCCGTGTACAGCAGCAGCGTGAGCACCAACAGGCTGGACACCGCGCAGATGGCAATGATCAGATACACGTTCACATCCACCAACGCCGCCTCTGGGCCTGTGGCCTCCACGGACATCCGTGACGGGTTATTTGGCGTCTGGCTGCTGTCCGCCAGCGACAGCAGCACGGTGGCCGTAACTGCCAGCGCAGGCTCGCCGTGGTCCTTCACCAGCACCAGCAGGCGCTGGCGCGGCGCGTCCACCTCGTCCAGGGCTCGCGTCGTGCTGATCTCGCCCGTGTACAGCCCCACGCGGAACGGGCTGTGAGCGCCCCCCGCCTCCGACAGCAGCTCGTAAGACAGCCACGCGTTGTAGCCCGAGTCCGCGTCCACCGCGCGCACCTTCGCCACCACGTGGCCCGCGCCCACAGAACGCGCCAAAGGCTGGCTCACCACGCCGCCCCCGCTGTCAGACCCAGGCGGCAGCAACGCGGGCGCGTTGTCGTTCTCGTCCAGCACGAACACCTGCAGCGTCACATTACTGCCCAGAGGGGGCACGCCCGCGTCGCGCGCGCTCACCTGGAACTGCAACAGCTCCAGCTCCTCGTGGTCCAGCGGCTGCAGCGCGTACACCTTGCCGCTCTCCGCGTGCACCGACACGTAGCTCGACAGCGCACGCTCGCCCACGCGCCGCTCCACCAGCGAGTAGGACACCAGTGCGTTCTCTTGCGCGTCCGCGTCCCGCGCAGACACCGTGAAGATGTGGCAGCCGGGCGGGTTGTTCTCCTTCACGAACACCGTGTACTCGGGCTGCGCGAATGCTGGCGCATTGTCGTTCACGTCGGCCACCTCCACGAACACGCTGGCGGTGGCCGACAGCGAAGGCAAGCCCCCATCCTGCGCTGTCACAACCAGCTCATAGTTTGCCACGTTCTCGCGGTCCAGGGCGCTGTCCAGCACCAGCGAATAGTAATTATTGAAGGTGGACACCAGCTTAAAGGGGACATGAGGTAACAGTGTGCAGGTCACCTGTCTGTTTACACCGGAGTCGCGGTCGGACACGCTTATCAGGGCGATGACAGTCCCCAATGGAGCGTCTTCTCTGATTGGGAGTGACAGGGACTTGAATTCCATTATTGGCACATTATCGTTGGTGTCTTCAACTTCCACCATAACTGTGCAATGGCCAGAGAGTGGGAGCTGTCCCTTATCAATGCCCTCTACAAAAATTTCAAAGGATTTGCTTTCTTCAAAATCAATATATCCCTTTACAATAAGTTCTCCAGTAATTGGATCTATGTGAAACTTAGATTTCACATTTGGTAAAGTATCAGTTGAGAATGAATAAATAATATCTCCATTGGAGCCTTCATCTAAATCTGAGGCGTTAAGTTTAATTACCAACGTTCCATTAGGAACATTTTCTGGTAATTTCACCGTATAGAGTGTTCTATCGAAAGTAGGAGTGTTATCATTGGCGTCTAACACTATGACCAATAACTGAATGGTGCCAGTCAGCTCAGGTTTGCCTCCATCAGTGGCCGTGAGCATTAAAAATATTTCCGAACTTTCTTCTCTATCTAAAGGTTTCCTTAATACAAGTCCAAGACGTTTTATCCGCTTGTCATCGGATGTTTTTTCCAACGAGAAATACTCATTGGGGCTCAGTCTGTAAGTGAGCAGAGCGTTGGCCCCGACGTCTGCATCGGACGCGCCCTCTAGTGGAAACCAAGAGTCAAGCGGCCTAGATTCAGCCATAAACAGATTCTTTTGTGATCCGGGGAACACAGGCGGATTGTCGTTAATGTCCCTCACTTCCACCTCCACATGGAAAACCTGCAGCGGCCTCTCCACGATCACCTCCAGGTGGATGCTGCACTCCAGGCTCCGCCCGCACAGCTCCTCGCGGTCGATCCGAGAATTCACAAACAAAATGCCATTCTGCAGATTTACCTCCAGAAGGTCCCCACTGCCTTTGGACGCCACCCGGAACATGCGCGGCACCAGCTCCTCCAGCTCCAGCCCCAGGTCCTGGGCGATGCGGCCCACGAAGGTGCCGTGTTTGGCCTCCTCGGGGACCGAGTAGCGGACCTGGCCGCTCCCAGTCTCCCAGACTGCGAGGAACAGAAGTGAGAGCAGCAGACGCCGGGATTCTCTGCCGCTTCTCCACAATAACTCCATCTCGGGCCTGCAGTACTTTGTCCTCATTAAAGGATCTTGTTTCAAAATCAAGAGCTATCTTCTGACCACTCAGCCCAGTGCCCCTGCACCCTCCATTTTTCAGCATCTGGATAATGGATGCCGCTTCTTCACAAGAATAGAAGGGATTTTTTTTTTCTTCCTTTCTCTATCAGATCATTTTATAGTATAGAGCGACATCATGTGGCTTCAAATCGTAAGTAATCAGTTCTGGAAATTCATACTCTTAAACCGCTAAGTCTTATACTGTCAGCCATTCCACTTACTTTAACGCCGTTGGAGAATAGAATCACATTTTGAACAACTGATTGAGTGTGATCCTTAGTTTCACCACAGGGGCAGTTTTCAGTGGAAATCTTTTCTTCATACAGGTTTTAGGTATTACAGAGACCCAACCGTAGTTAACATACACTTCGTAAAAATAAAATTGTAGAGTGTTAGCAAATTGTATAACACTTTTTTTGTGTGTTCCTGAGAATGTTTTTATTAATGACAACACATTCTTCATCTTTGGATTTCATATTGCCGGTGTTGAAGACTTCAGAGAACTTAACTCTAGGAACCTCTGATTCCAAGATTAAGCCATTGAAGGGGAATTTTGAAATTTTCCAAAAAAGAAAGCAAAGACTATCAGCATTTAATGGAAAGTCTTTCTTAAATCATCTAAGGACTTAAGGTGTAAGAAAGCTTTAACAGGGAAGTAGGATGCTGTGGTATTTAATTTCTGTGGAAAACTATTTCAAATAATTTTATTCACTGGAAATCATTTACCCCAATGAGCAGGATTGGTATTTTCTATTTTGTTTCTTGTGGTTTATAAATATTTGCCCATTCTCTGGTGTCTAAAATGCCTAAGCTCCTATTTTCTCCTATAGTGCTCATATATTTTAGTCTCAGTGGACAATTTCCTGCTTCAAACAAAATTTTTTGTTAAACGAATATTTCGTCTATTGCCTAAATAATATCCATCATTTCCAAACTCTTTGCAAAGCAATTTCCCCCATTTTATAACTACTGAAAACTTCTTTGACCAACGAAGACTTTCATGATTAAACCAACTGGACTGGCATCTTTACTTTCTTTTACATACTACAGCATTCAGATTGAATCACTTGGGCCATTTATTATATTAATTTCTCTTTTGTAGACATTTGGGTATGTATGTCTGTCCTCCTTTTTGACATATAAACTTTTAAAGAGAATAGTTGTGTCTTGATAGTTTAATAGTTCAGAACACTTAACTAATATTTGCTGAATATGTACCTAATAGAACAGTTTGGTTCTCTTCTATTGCCTAATAAAATGCATTAAAGTAAGGTGGTCACATAACTAGTTAGGAAAATATGATGTCTCAGTAGCCTCTATGATTTTCCAGAGATACAAAGATATTTTCCTTAGACATTGCCCTAATTAATATATATTTCAATTTCGATATTGAAAACCTGGGTTTTAGCTTAATTTTCATTCCAGTTCTTGGCAGTCATGATCTTTGAGACATCTGAGTTTTAAAAGTCAATGAAGAATTCCCAATAAATAAAACATGTTTGTTTTCCTTTCATAAAGAAACTTAACATAGAGAGACATGATGGTAGCTATTTTCAGACTTTCTTTGCCTCTTATGTTCATAAATCTCTTTTTCCCATGATTGTTTAGGACACAATTAAAAATCAGTATAGTGGATATAGCATTAGGCTCCCATTTATGAAGAGCCATACTCACAAAGTATTTTTTCTGAATTAAAACATAAATCAGAGTAGTTTCACTGTTTGAGGACCCAAACTATAGATTGGTACAAAGTGATCATACATGCCAAACACACTGGAAGAAAGTGAAAAGGACTCTGTACTCATTTACATTGTTTTGTAAAATAATTTTAAATATAGATGAGGAATGCAACAGAATAGAAAGGACATTTATTTGGAAACTAATCAATATAGAATAGTATAGAAGACTACATCTCTAAAAAAATTTTCACAAATTTTTAAAATGTCTTATTAGCTGAGAATCTTCTTCGTGAAGAATTTGAAGAGGAGGTCTGAAATTTTTAGACTGAAATCCCTTATTCTGAGAACTTTGCACGACCTTATTATTTACAATAGGATGAAAATAAGGCCTAATAAAAAAAAATTGTGAACCACAATTGGAAACGTTGAGGTTAATACTGCCTAGATGGGCAGCAGTAAAGAATTGTGCCAGAAAAAGGAAATGAAAATGGAAAAAGGGAGGATTATCTGTTTTCTATGTTAGCCTTCCCCACAATGTCAGAGTATTAAACAGGTTTCAGCAAGAAAGCTTGAACAGGATGTAGACATTTATAGTACATAACTTGTGTGGGAAAGTATTCCACATACTTGTATACACTAGAACCCATTCACCTCCCAGGAGCCAGGTTGGTATTTTCATTTTGTCTCTTTTGGTTTAGAAATATGTGACTGTTCTTCAGTCTCTAATATGCCTAAGCTTTGGATTCCAGTGGCAAGGAAACTTGAATGGGAGCCCAACTATTTGTTAGGGAAAATGACCAAATACCAAATATGGGATTGACTAGAAAATAATCTCACTTCAATTTTATTTGGTGTAAGCTTTTTGGAGCTTTGTACAAACAACGTGATACACATTAATAGACAGGTTCGTATTCACGGGGAAGACTACCAGTAATGACATTGACTTATTATACTTTTGGACTTTAGCATCCTTAATACTATATGCAAAAGTTGTTAATGATTAACAGGATTTGCTGGTAGAATAGTTTTAAGTTAGATATAAGTATTATTTTCAAAAATTGTTCCCATGAAAAATAATAATTTTAATATTCTTTTTAAAGGAATATTTTATAAATGATGATATAGAGTATTAAATTTTACTTCCTATTGATTTATTAATGCTTACTAATAAAAGTAATAAGAAAATGAAGATGAACAAAGATACAATTCTAAAGCAATAAAATTATCCTATTTATTCTTCTTACCCAGTTGAAAAACTAGCAACAACACACATATTGCCAAATGTAAGCACAAGGACTGAAAGAAACTATGTCCAAGTAGAGAGGAAGAACTGAGACTCCAGAAAAATAAGTGAGCAAAGAAGTTCCATAAGAGGTAACAGGTTTAATAAACTAATATTTGAAACTGAAGATATAAGCATTATTAGAAGGGAGTGGTAAGCATTTAGGATGAACTCATAAAATGGGCCAGTGATATTTCTACTAAAATCTAGTAGGAACTCCAAATGAAAAGTGGCAAAAGCCATTGAAAAATTGTTCAGAAATTACTACACCATAGTTGGAGTGAAATGTTCTAAAAGTGCAACTCACCCAGGAAAATATACTAAGTTCCTAGCCAAACCTTTAGTGATAAAATAATCCTATTACTGCATCTCAGAACAAGAAGAAAACAAACTGCAAGTATGGTTCTCGCCACTTATTGCTAAATCCATTAAAAAACAATAGTCACAAGATTTTCAAATATTTTAACCACAAAACCAGGATCTGGGAAACACAATTACCAAAAACATAGAGGAATTAACTGTTAAAATGTTTCCAAAGTAGGAAAGTTGAATAAAAGACAAAGACATAATTAAAAGGATTTTAAAAATTACTCACTTTGGCAGAAAGATCAATATCCCCATCCAGCTGCTCTTGTACATCCCGGCTAACCGGACCAGATGGAAGGCTGGGGCTGAACGCCATGAGGTCAGTCTTGGGTGGGCCCTCCCCAGAGCACACCCTCTGACGCCTCTGCTGCGAGTACGACCAGCTCCCCACCGCGCTCGAGCACACCAGCATGGGCTTCCCCGGCCCGCACGCGCCCTCGGTGGGCGGAGCCGAGCACCGCAGCGCGGTGTACAGCAGCAGCGTGAGCACCAACAGGCTGGACACCGCGCAGATGGCGATGATCAGATACACGTTCACATCCACCAGCGCCAACTCCGTGCCCACGGCACCCGGCGACATCCGCGACTGGGTCTTTGGCGTCTGGCCGTTGTCCACCAGCGACAGCAACACGGTGGCTGTGGCCGTCAGTGCTGGCTCGCCGTGGTCCTTCACCAGCACCAGCAGGCGCTGGCGCTGCGCGTCCACCTCATCTAGGGCTCGCGTCGTGCTGATCTCGCCCGTGTACAGCCCCACGCGGAACGGGCTGCGCGCGCCCCCCGCCTCCGACTGCAGCTCGTAAGACAGCCACGCGTTGTAGCCCGAGTCCGCGTCCACAGCGCGCACCTTCGCCACCACGTGGCCCGCACCCACAGAACGCGCCACCGGCTGGCTCACCACGCCGCCCCCGCCGCCAGACCCCAGTGGCAGCAGCGCTGGCGCGGTGTTGTTCTCAACCTGCAGCGTCATGTTGCTGCTCAGAGGTGGCACGCCCGCGTCGCGCGCGCTCACCTGGAACTGCAACAGCTCCAGCTCCTCGTGGTCCAGCGGCTGCAGCGCGTACACCTTGCCGCTCTCCGCGTGCACCGACACGTAGCTCGACAGCGCACGCTCGCCCACGCGCCGCTCCACCAGCGAGTAGGACACCAGCGCGTTCTCCTGCGCGTCCGCGTCCCGCGCAGACACCGTGAAGATGTGGCAGCCGGGCGGGTTGTTCTCCTTCACGAACACCGTGTACTCGGGCTGCGCGAACGCCGGCGCGTTGTCGTTCACATCGGCCACCTCCACGGACACGCTGGCGGTGGCCGACAGCGAAGGCGAGCCCCCGTCCCGCGCTGTCACCACCAGCTCGTAGGTCACCACGCTCTCGCGGTCCAAGGCGCTGTCCAACACCAGAGAATAATAATTTTTGAAAGCGGTTAACAGCTTAAAGGGGGCATCGGGAGTTAGGGTGCAGGTCACCTGCCCGTTGACATCAGAGTCGCGGTCAGACACACTAATCAGGGCGATGACTGTACCGAGTGGAGCGTCTTCTAATACCGGTAACAATAGTGATTTGATAACCAACTCAGGTACATTATCATTGGTGTCCAAAATTTCCACTAGAACAGTGCAGTGATCTGTCATTGGGGGAGTTCCTTTATCTGTCGCCTCTACTTGGATTTCATATAACTTAGTTTCCTCGAAATCTATGTTACCCTTTACAGTGATGTATCCATTAACTGGGTCTAAGTGGAATTTCGACAGAGTATCTGCTGAGGTGTCTGTATTAAAAGAATATACAATGTCCTTATTTACTCCTTCATCCAAATCAGAGGCGTTAACAATCACCGTTAGAGTATCATTTGGTGCATTTTCAAATAATTTGACTTTGTAGACTGTCCTCTCAAACTTTGGGGCATTGTCGTTTACATCTAGAACAGTTATCTTCAGTTGAGTAGTGCCAGTGAGCTCTGGTTTCCCACCATCAACTGCCATTATTAGTAAGTGATGCTCAGAAGTGTCCTCTCGATTTAAAAGCTTTTTCAACACGAGTCCAAGGGATTTAATTTCCTCATCATTTCTTTTAACATCCAAGGTAAAATATTCATTGGAATTAAGACTGTAGGTCAACAGCGAATTCGCTCCTATATCTGCATCTGATGCGCCCTCTAGCGGAATCCGAGAACCGGGCGGCCGGGATTCGTAAATAAACAAATTTTTAACTGCCACTGGAAAAATCGGCGAGTTGTCGTTAATGTCTTTTACCTCCACCTCCACATGGAAAACCTGCAGCGGCCTCTCCACGATCACTTCCAGGTGGATGCTGCACTCCAGGCTCCGCCCGCACAGCTCTTCGCGGTCGATCCGAGAATTCACAAACAAAATGCCATTCTGCAGATTTACCTCCAGAAGGTCCCCACTGCCTTTGGACGCCACCCGGAACTGGCGCGGCACCAGCTCCTCCAGCTCCAGCCCCAGATCCTGGGCGATGCGGCCCACAAAAGTGCCGTGTTTGACCTCCTCGGGGACCGAGTAGTGGACCTGGCCGCTCCCAGCCTCCCAGATTGCGAGGAGCATAAGCGAAAGCAGTAGCCGCCAAGCTCCTAGATCTTCTATCCAGGAAAACACCATTTCAAGCCTTTTCCAAATATTTGGTCGCTGTTCCATCGATCCAAAATTAAAACAATAATTTGAGTTCCTTCTTCTTCGTTTCTTAAATAAGCTTACCATTCCCGTATTTCAGAGATAGTGAGGAAAGGCAGCATCTGCGTACGTAATGCAGGCTCTATTTCTTTTGTAGTGAAAGACCTTGTGGTGGACAGCGACACCATGTGGCTACATTTGTAAATATTAGATGTATTATCTTCTTTTATACTTCATTTGAACTTCCCAATTTCTATTTTCATTGTAATTTCCTTTAGGCGCTCCCCAGAGTTCTTCATATTTTATCAAAATATATCCTTAAAACTTTTATATCAATCAGTTTCAATTCTACCAATCCATGACATAAAATACAGGTAGTAAAATAGTGATTATTGTTGTAACAGCAGGGGACATCTATCAGAAATATATCCCATGTGACAAGCACTATTCTAATTATTTTAATGGGGTTATCTCATTAAATTTTTATAACTCTATGAGGTAGGTATTAACATGTTTCTTTTTTACAAGCAAGGAAGTGGGAGCATATACAAGTAACTTTTAAAAATTGCATTAACTGGTGGTGTTTGGGCGGGATCTCAATCTGATTCAACAGTTATAACTTTAACTACTAGGCCTTGAAGTCCATCTATGTTTTATAGAAAAATCAGGCCCTTGATATTTCTGACCATCAAAACAGTGAGACATTGAAAATATCTATGTATATATACATACATAGTTACTTCTATATTATTTCAGCAATTGTTAATTTACAAATGATGTTCACTTTATTATTTAATTTGTAGGATGTCTATAAATCACTCTTTATTTATTCCATGTTATCCTTGTTAGCCACCAACTATATGCTTCAATTTACCTGTATATTCTAAAATATTCATAATATAAAATAATTCTGTATTTAATAATCTCCACTCTGGATGAATTTCTGGATTCCAGTTTCTTAAAAAGTTGTTACTTGAACAAATTGGTGATTTGACCAATGAGTAAAGAGAGAAAAGTAGCTTTAGCATATGATTTACTACTCAACATATGTTAAGACGAGGCAATGAAATATTCTAAAGATGTCTGTGAATTCCATGAGAGGCATGAGGTCTCCGAGCTTTTAGGGGTTGAGCAGAGAAAAATCCATGGGAAGATGTTGAATTTAGAGAAGTAAGAGAATGTCCAAATGTTTGCTTATACTCAGATTCTTTTTAAATGAAATCAAACACGTATTTAAGTATTAGAGGAAAAGTTCTTTCCGATTTCTTTTCCTATGTACTCACTGAATGCTAGCCAAGATTTCACCTTACTCATATTTTATTATTTGCATTTAGAACAGAATGAATTATGAGTTAATGTTTTAATGAATAAATAAGTAAACATTTTAAATTAACTTTTCAAGTAATATAAGTAAACAGGTAAGTTATATTAATGATATTTGTTAATATCACATTTACATGATTGATTTCTTATTGATTCTATTGTACTAGTTCATGAAGTAAGTAAACATTTAAAAATTATTTTGGAAAAGCATAGATCTAGGAAATAATTAGATCAATATGCTAGTTAGTGCTTTGATGAATCTTGAAAGGTAGTAGCCAGTTTTAAAATGAGAGATAAACTTAAAATTTTAAAACATCATGAACTTCATATTAATGAGATATCTTTGATAACTTATCATAATAATATACATTTCATGACAGTTAGGAGTGTACAAAGGCAATGTAAAAAAAATGTAAAAAAAAAAAAAAACCCTAAGAATTTATACAGCAATAGATTGTGACTCCTGGAGATCTGGGCACAAAGGCTTGGATACAAAAGCTTACCATTTATCTTTAGTAGAAATGTAGTGGCCAGACTTCCAGTATGAAGGATTTCACTTAACCATTCATACATTCTACACACAAATCTCAAGAAGGTGGTGAGTAGCTATGATACTCTACATGGGATGATTCCTTCCATGAAAAAGCTTCTTTCTCATTTGTTCAAGCTATTTATTTCTCTATAAGAATATAAAGCTGCAGATGAACTTTCCTGATTCCCAGGAAACATATACTCTGAATTTTGAGGCTTTTCAGTGCTGACAAGCTAATAAGTTTCCCATAGGAACAGACTATCCTTAAATGAAGTTCAAGATTTCCCAACCAAACTCCTCAATTCCTGATCCCAGATGAAAGTTGATATTCTGTCCTATCTGTGAACTGGCTAAGATCACTTAGTGGAAATTACTTCTATGATTCATCAATATCCACATACATCTGGGGGAAAACAGCAAATAACTAAGAACCAAATAGAAGACAGTTTTAGACAGTTATTTCATCCCTTTGGTTGAATTATTTTTAAATTTCCTTTCCAAGTATAACAATGACTTGTCAAATTTAGTGTTTTAATTACCCATCACAGGAGTTCTCAATTAAAATGTAGTCATTTATAGCAACCCTTATCTTTTGAAAAAACTCCAACTTTGTTAGGAATATGGATGCTGCCAGGTGGAAATGAGTGAGTTCACAGTCATAGAAAATGTTATCCTTGGCATAGAGTGTGGTGCCAGAGGAAGGTTGTCAGTCTCTGCTCAGTGGGAGGCCTGCATACATTAGCTCAGTGATACTGATACTGGAAGGATGACTGAACAACCAGCTAACATAAAGACTGAGTTAGAGTACTCTCCGCTTGTATGAAGAGCAAGTCCCACTACCTAGCCAACCCACAATGTGATTTTTTTAAATGTTAATATTCTTTAATTAAACAAAATAGATAGAAGGCTCTTTTCTAAATGAACTCTCTATTGTGCATCAAAAATCCAGGATTTTGCAAGTGCGAAACTCTATTCTAAATAATAGGTTATTTTACTACTGAAAGCCATTCCTAGGATTAGTAATTATTCTTAAGTGATGTTATGTGTGGTAATGACCTATGAAGATAATTTTGGAAATCCTAACATTAAAAGATTCATTCAGGCCGTTTTCAAACACAAGAGAAGAAAAATTAACTTATTACTTGCTGCATAAATAGATAAAGACAAATGAATTCTTCCTTGAAAGAATAATTAGGAAATGTCCAGATATTTTGTATAGTCTTATTCCAACATATTCTGACAGAATGAATGGATGGTGTAAATGAGAAATACGTATTACATAATAATACTCCATCTTAAAGTTTTTTTCGATTGTGATTTTTTTTTTAATTTGAGAAAAATATTTGCAGGTACTATTAAGTTTTCAAATTTTGATTAAGTATTTTAAATCCTTCAAGATCCTATTATTCATGGAGAGGTTTAATTGTGGAAAAGCCAAAATGTAAAATTAAAAAAATCATTTAAGTAAATAGTTCTCACTGCAAGAAATTGATCTCTAGCTAATTCATTCCATATATTGCACAACAGGATAATGATACAAAATAAAGGCAGTTATGAAATGAAATAATTAACAGAATCATAAAGAATAAAGGAAATAAAACAACTCTAGAATTGACAGGAAAAAAAATAAAAGACTCACATTTTCTAAGTGTTCTGATTCTGAGGGTGGCTGTCTTTCTCCTGCGGAGCCTGGACCTTGGGGTAGGCAGGGGCTGAAGGCCATGAGGTCGGTCTTCGGCGGGCCCTCCCCAGAACACACCCTCTGCCGCCTCTGCTGCGAGTACGACCAGCTCCCCACCGCGCTGGAGCACACCAGCATGGGCTTCCCCGGCCCGCACGCGCCCTCAGTGGGCGGAGCCGAGCACCGCAGCGCCGTGTACAGCAGCAGCGTGAGCACCAACAGGCTGGACACCGCGCAGATGGCGATGATCAGATACACGTTCACATCCACCAGCACCAATTCCGCGCCCACGGCACCTGCGGACATCAGTGACGGGGTCTTTGGCGTCTGGCCGCTGTCTACCAGCGACAGTAGCACGGTGGCGGAGGCCGTCTGCTTCGGCTCGCCGTGGTCCTTCACCAGCACCAGCAGGCGCTGGCGCGGCGCGTCCGCCTCGTCCAGGGCTCGCGTCGTGCTGATCTCGCCCGTGTACAGCCCCACGCGGAACGGGCTGTGAGCGCCCCCCGCCTCCGGCCGCAGCTCGTAAGACAGCCACGCGTTGTAGCCCGAGTCCGCGTCCACAGCGCGCACCTTCGCCACCACGTGGCCCGCACCCACAGAACGCGCCACCGGCTGGCTCACCACGCCGCCCCCGCTGCCAGCCCCCGGCGGCAGCCTGCCAGACCCAGGCGGCAGCAATGCGGGCGCGTTGTCGTTCTCGTCCAGCACGAACACCTGCAGCGTCACGTTGCTGCCCAGAGGAGGCACGCCCGAGTCGCGCGCGCTCACCTGGAACTGCAACAGCTCCAGCTCCTCGTGGTCCAGCGGCTGCAGCGCGTACACCTTGCCGCTCTCCGCGTGCACCGACACGTAGCTCGACAGCGCACGCTCGCCCACGCGCCGCTCCACCAGCGAGTAGGACACCAGCGCGTTCTCCTGGGCGTCCGCGTCCCGCGCAGACACCGTGAAGATGTGGCAGCCGGGCGGGTTATTCTCCTTCACGAACACCGTGTACTCGGGCTGCGCGAACTCAGGTGCATTGTCGTTCACGTCGGCCACCTCCACGGTCACGCTGGCGGTGGCCGACAGCGAAGGCGACCCCCCGTCACGTGCTGTCACCACCAGCTCATAATTTGCCACGCTCTCGCGGTCCAGGGTGCTATCCAGCACCAGCGAATAGTAATTCTTGAAGGTGGAGACCAGCTTGAAGGGGGCATTGGGAGTCATGGTGCAGGTCACCTGCCCGTTGTCACCGGAATCACGGTCGGACACCATGATGAGGGCGATTACGGTGCCCAGAGGAGCATCCTCTCGGATTGGAAGTGAAAGAGATGTTATTGAGACTTCTGGTGTGTTATCATTGATATCCACAAGTTTTACTGAAATTTTACAGTGCCCAGACATTGATGGAGTTCCATTGTCATATGCAATGACTTGAATCTCATAGGATTTCGTTTCTTCATAATCTAAGTGTCCCTTAGTTCTGATGTCCCCTGTGCTAGGATCTATTTTGAACTTGGTCTTTATAGTGGAGGGCACATCACTACTAAATGAATACACAATCTCGCTGTTTGATCCTTCGTCTGCATCAGTAGAATTTAGTCTAATCACTAACGTTCCGTTTGCGGCGTTCTCTAACAATTGCACTTTGTAAACTGATTGGTCAAAAGTAGGCTCGTTGTCATTCACATCTAATACCTTAATAAGCAATTGAACAGTGCCGGTGAGCTCAGGTTTGCCCCCATCAGTTGCCACCAGTAACAAATTAAACCCGGATATTTCCTCTCTGTCCAGGGATTTCTTAAGCACTAGAGACAAAGACTGGCTTAGGTCATCATTTGTCTGTATATCTAGAAAGAAAAACTCACTGGAGCTGAGCTTATAGGAGAGAAGAGCGTTTACTCCGATATCTGCATCAGTTGCGCCCTCTAGAGGAAACCGCGAGTCAAGCGGCTTCGATTCGTGAAACCGGATAGTCTTTACCGCCACTGGAAACATGGGCGGATTGTCGTTAATGTCCTTCACCTCCACCTCCACATGGAAAACCTGCAGCGGCCTCTCCACGATCACTTCCAGGTGGATGCTGCACTCCAGGCTCCGCCCGCACAGCTCCTCGCGGTCGATCCGAGAATTCACAAACAAAATGCCATTCTGCAAATTTACCTCCAGAAGGTCCCCACTGCCTTTGGACGCCACCCGGAACAGGCGCGGCACCAGCTCCTGCAGCTCCAGCCCTAGGTCTTGGGCGATGCGGCCCACGAAGGTGCCGTGTTTGGACTCCTCAGAGACGGAGTAGTGGACTTGGCCGCTCCCAGCCTCCCAGGCTGCGAGGAGCAGAACTGAGAACAGCAGACGCCCGACCTCCCGGTCCCTTACTATAGAAGACACCATTACCAATCCTCAGCGAGTTGACCAAATTAGAAAATCATGTTTTGTAAATTTTAAAATATTGTCCTCTGTTTCTGCTTAAGTCCTGCTGCTGCTCTTATTGTTCGGCTTCTCGGGAGTGACAATGGGCTCTGGGTATTTTTCTTCGTAGAGAACACTCTATGGTAGACAGCGACATCATGTGGCCAAAAGGTAGGCTCTACTGTTCAGATTTAAACTCGACTACTGTCTGGTCTGTTTACTCATAACTTTCACCTTGGAAAAACACCTATTTTTAAATCTTAAATATATTACTTCCACTTTTATTGTGTTAAAAAACACATACCAAAATTTTCCACCTCAACCAATTTTAAGTACACAGTTTAATAGTATTAAGTATATTCACATTGTGAAATAGGTCTCCAGAACTTTTCATCTTGCACATGTGAAACTCTATTAGATAACTCCTGCTTTTCCACCACACCACCACACTCTCCTTAACCATTCTACTTTTTGTTTCTATGAATTTAACGACTTTAGATACCTCGTATAAGTGGAATCATACAGTATTTTTCTGTGACTGGCTTACTTCACTTAGCATAAGGTCCTCAAGTTTCACCCATGTTGTAGCATGTGACTGAATTTTCTTTTTAAGGCTGAATAATATTCTCGTATAAGTATATACCACATTTTGTTTATCTATTTTCATCCATCTGTCCACGAATAGTTGGATTGTTCCCACTTCTTGGATATTGTAAATAATGCTGCTATGAACATGGGTGTGAAAATATCTCTCTGAGACCCTGCTTTCACTCTTTTGGCTATATTACTCTGTTTTTACCACTTCTTCAAACGAAGCATGTAGGAATCAAAGTGTATTTTAGTCTATTGAAAATACGTTTATATATTGCATTGTTGATTTTTTTGTGATTTAATTTTGCTTTCTGAACTGTTTGAAGATGTTTGAAAGTTAATCATGTGTTTCTCACTCAGATAATGTGTTAACTTAGAAATATTTTGCTTTCTACTATGTTTGGATATTTGAATAGTACAATTGATCTCTTTTTTAACGTTAATTATTTGAGAATATTCTCTTTTATTAATTCTTAGCTGGCCCTTTCACATACAAACAATATGAAAATAAGATAAACATAAGGATGAAATAAAATGAATTGGGGCATGGGTCCAGTGTTCAAAATACATAGTAGTAATTTTCAGTTACTCTAAAGTCCTTGCTAAAGAAAAATTAGCTTTTCTTGGTACTAAAAACCAATACTAATTTCTCCCTTGAGTCTAATATCTTAAGATACTTATTCACACCATCTATGGAACTGTATATTTATATTAATCATACTCTAATAATAAAAAATGATTTAATCAAGAAAGCAGAGCATCATTTATTGTCTTTTACATTAAAATGGGTAATTGTTTACCAATTTCGGGCAGATCTGGGTATACACACTTCAATAATACCATAAGGAAAACAGTTCCACATTTATGGTTTATTTTTCTCTGCTGACCTTATTCTCAGGTAGGCTTTTCTCATGTCATAGCCAAATGGCCAAAATAGCTTTCAGGCTACATATTTTTAGGCTACATTTAGTGACTCTCGATAGAAATAAAGTGCCCTTTCCCAATAGCCCCAGCAAAAATCCTAGAATATCACTTCCTCTGACCCAGTTTAGATAACATATCTTTCCTTTAGTCAATAGTTGTGATGGCTCTCACTTGGCCTAGTATAGCTTGCTTCTACATTATTGAAGCCAAGAGATGAAATCAGCCATGCCTAAATTATGGAGACTGAAAATGAGGATGCTGGTTCTTATGAGGTGAAGGCCAGTGCAGAGCCTCATGTGACCAAATGCTCCTGGTGCTTAAACTGATTCCATCACATAGCTGCAGACTGGCCACTACATCATTACATAGTTGCAATGCTATTGCATGTTTGTAATATCCAGTAATTTTGATATACTAATTAGTGGCCAACATGTTGGCAACCGTTGGCATATTAAAAAATCATACCTTGAATCCAGATGTTAGCTCTAGGAAACAACTTGCTTGAGGCAATTTTGCAATCTTATGAGGTAATTTTGCTGGATTTTCAGCATGACATGTTTGAGGGTATGAGACATGTTATGCTGTTATTCAGAGTTTCTGAGAATCTAGAATATCTCTCTCTCTCCTTCAAAGAGATAGAGTGCCATTACCAGAAATCCAAGCACATTTCCCCAAATGGGGATAGGAGACTAAGAAGCCATGTTCAACAGATATCACTCAACTTGACCTCTCTTGGTATCTGTAGTGGGTTGAATAGTAGCCCCCAAAAGATATAGCCACCCAGAACCTCAGAATGTGACTTTATTTAGAATAAAGTTATTTATGGATATAATTAAAGTAACCCTAAACTTAACATCATCCTAGATTAAGGTTGGCCATAAATCCAATGACAGGTGTCATATAAGAGTTAGAAAAAGAGAAAATACACAGAGACATAGGAAAAAATGTGACAACTAAGGCAGAATTGGAGTTATGTTGCCACAAGCCAGGAAATGATAGGAACCACCAGAAACTGAAAGAGGCAAGGAAGAATTCTTCCCTAGAGACTTCAGAGGGGACATGGCCCTGCTAACAGCTGAGGTTGGACTTTTGGCCTCTAGAACTGTGAGAGAATAAATTTGTTGTGTTAAGCCACCAAGTTTGTAGTAATTTGTTGCAGCAGCCCTATGGAACCAATATAGCATACATTGCTAAAATTATACCCTTTGTACTTATCAAAGCAAACTGTTAATTGTCTAAGGTTTATGGGTCTTAGCATCTATTCTTGCAAAATCTTCATCCCAGTCTTTCACAAAACTACAACAAAGCCCTAGAAGGAAAAAAAACAAGAAGGGGGATTTGATGCTAGGCAAAACAAAAAAAAAAAAAAAAAGAGTTGCCTAAATATTTTTAAGTTCAGTTTATCGTTTTTCTTCTCTTACCTTTAATATATAAGAAAAAGAAATCACAACACGATCATTTTTTCCAGGGAATCCAAGTTATCTAATCTACTTAATGGGCAGACGCCATAGTAAAAAGATTAGTAATAATGTTCTCCTATCAGTTGTATTACCTGTTCTAATGCTCGCCTCTTAAAATTTATTCTGTTCGCATTAGCTTAATGGCTGTAGACTCCCAATGAATATGTTGCTGTACATTGACTATTTCAGTTTTCCCTCTAAAATATTTCTGACTCCTGCAAAGTTTTCTGTGGTTATGGGAGACTGCCTAGGACAGCTTATCGCCACATGTTAGTTCAGCATCCCATACTGCTTTGAAATTATAGCATGTCAACATCAACCTGTGTTTTTATAATTGCTGCAACAGCAGAAGACAGCAAAAGCCAGCACTGGCAATTACATACTTCTGCTTGGAAGTGACACACATCATTCACATTTCATTGATCCAAAAAATCACTCCTCAAGGTAACAGGGAAGTGAAATCCTCCAGTGTTCTCAGAAGAAGGAGAACAGAAATATTGGTACCAAAATAAACAACTATTTCTCCTTACCCATTTGTATTCTTGACTGACCACAAGTCTCAAAGGTTCCTCAAGTGATACCTTACTTTTCTAATTACTTATTGTTATGCCAGTAAATAAAATTACATTCTAATCTTAGAAAGAAAGTTTTTGAAAAAGAAAGAACATACCAATAGTATTCTCAAGTGTTCTTCCTTGTATTTTAGGTGATTTAAAAATATTTCCCTGAAAAATAAAATTACATTGGTATCATCATACCAAGGTAACTTGAAAATAAAATAATTCCTAAAATCATAGTCATGAAAGGAAAACTAATTGCTGGAATTAAATAATCATAAGATAATAATATATATTTTGCCAAGATTTTACTGGATTAGAAATCTTGGTAAAATATATATTATTATCTTTCAATTATTCAATTTCAGTAAGCAAAAATGGTTTTTGCTTTCATTGGAGTGTTTAAAAACTGGAGTCTGTAGAAAAATGAGAATAACACTGTTATTCTCAGTATGTATAACATGGTGATCTTTGCCTAGTGTTTTCAGATAGAAAACAAAAGAGTGAACTCCTAACATTAAATGGATAATTAATATTAACCAACATTCCAAATGCATAACAATGATTATAATCTGGTAAAAGGCCTTAGCATATATAACTTCCTCTTTTGAAGATATGACCATTTTTAAGTCAATAAATTTCCTAAATGAATGACTAATTTGAATTATAAACATACCATGAAATAAGAACTAAATCTTATATTTTAGTATTAATAAAAGCATAGAATATAGAGTCACAGCATTATCCTAAAATCAAAGTCATGAAAGGAAAATTAATTGCTGGAATTAAATAATCATAAGATAATAATATATATTTTGCCAAGCATAGAATATAGAGTCACAGCATTATCCTAAAATCAAAGTCATGAAAGGAAAATTAATTGCTGGAATTAAATAATCATAAGATAATAATATATATTTTGCCAAGCATAGAATATAGAGTCACAGCATTATCCTAAAATCATAGTCATGAAATAGTTATTCTGCTGTGACTCTATATTCTATGCTTTTATTAATACTAAAATATTCAATGAATAACACATTAATCATAAAAACAGGTGGAAAAGCAGGAAAATAAAGCAACTATTTTATCTCTATAAAGAAGAAGAGAGAAAGTAATACATTTCCTGGAATAAATAAAGAAAGACAAAACTATTGAAAGTTGTGTAGACAACATGAAGATTCTGAATGAGAGAAGAATATTAACTACCAATGAGAAATTCATTCATATTTATATTAAAATAAATACTAAGTAAAATACCACTCCACAACAATCCTTTCCTCCATTCCAGAATTATCTTTTCATAAAAAATCTCTTTTCAAACTGTGTAGTCCTAAATCTACTTCTTTTGGTTTAGTGATCATTAACTAATATTTGAGATTCACCTCCAAGTTAATACCTTCAACTAACCCAGAAAACTTTTAACCTTCACAGCAATAATCTTAATACAGAAATAATTGTATGGTTGTTCTAGATCCACAGTACATCGGTCTAAAATTTTGTTTTGACAGTGATCCCAATGTAGTTGTATGACGGATGCTTGAATGTCTTCAGGCCGAATTAATAGGCTTTGGCATTCATCAAATGATCCTCGATTCCATTAATAATTTTATGATTAACCTCTCAGTGAAATACTGTTAGATAAGTGCTCTTTCAACCTAACAAAAATTCTTCAAGAAACAAGTGGTGCCACTTAGCTTCAACTGACAGCTTTGAACTCAAGTTTTTCTGGCTTGATAGAAAAAAATATGTTTATGTTTTCCAACAGCTTCCTCTACTCATCCCAATTGTTTGATCATTTTAATTCCCTTTTCCAGGGCATTTCTCTCTACTTGATTATATTTTTCTTTAGCTGAGGCAATGTGAATTACACATCATTTCTTGGATACTATATTTAGAGAAAAACTTCATCTGCTTTGTTTCTAGAAAACTTGCTAATAATAGTCAGCATTATAATGCTTCTTTTTAAAAAGTCATGAATAGAATAAGATCTTCCTTTATAGACATCCTGATTAGACAAAAAAAATGGAAAAAAGCAATATTACAAGTATTTCCATAACCCAGTTGCTATTTTATATAGCTTAGAATGTGGTCCCTGTGAAGCCAAGGGACCTTGGCTATCTTGTTTCACTGCTGCTGTGTCCCCAGGTTCTGCAGCAGGCCTTAGTATACAGAAGGATCTCCATATGTTCTTGTAGAATGGATACATGAGTAAATATTGAATGTCTCTAGAGGAAATCCTAAGCCTGGACATTAATATCATTAGCAAATGTAGCTATGGGGACAAAGTAATGTGAATTGGGCAAGAGAAATTATTTTGTGACTACCTTATCTATCTTTCTCAATTTTATAATCCTGAAAATTTTATCTCATATTAAAGAAACTTTTTGCCAAAAGTCTGGGTATGATTAATATTTGAAAAGTTACAGAAATATGCTTATAGCCTATTTCTTACAATGCTCTAAGCAACAGCTCTGTGTCAACTCAAATTTTTAAAAACAATTACCAAATTGTACTACTATCTTATAAAATGTTTTCGCAAGGGGACTTTCATAGGACTTTTTCTGTATGTTTATTTGAATATTTATACAAACAAAAATATATTCCTTTAATATTTATGTAACTTCAGGATTAAACATAGGAAATAAAATTTAATATTATACCTTTGACTGTATTACTAGCAAATATGTTCCACCTGGATTAGCAAAACTGTTATCAAATATACTGTTCAGCATATTGCTAAACCCTTATAAAATGATCAGTAATCAACTCTTCCTTGAATTTAGAGCAAGAAGAGAGTCTTTTTTTCCTCTTCTGAAGAATTGGTTTAGAGAATTTCCTTTCATTGCTATTTTTCATATTTCTGTATTCGTTTCCAAGAAGGTATTAGGATTAGTACTCAGTCTAAGCTTGCTTGGTTTTTGCAAAAATTGCTCTGACCCTTCTCTTGATCTTTTACTTTAGCTTTTAAAAAGATTTTTCAAAATTTGCTCTTGCAAATTTCTTCCATTATAAAGTACCTTAAGTATTTTATGAAAGGCAATAAAGTGCATTAGAACAAGCAAGTTTTGGATATCCTTGGGAAATTTGGAACTTAGTTTTTCTGACCCTCAGCATCTTCATCCATAAAGTGAAACTACAATATTCACTTCACAAAATTATTGGTAAAGATGAGAGGCATGAAGATAAAAAGTTTTAGAACACTTATGAGTAAATGGAAGGTGCTTAATCCTAACAGAATTATCTAACAAATTCATTCCACATTAAGCTATCCAGACCCAAGAGAACTAAAGGTCTTTGGCATCAAGATATTGTCCATAACGACAATGAAGAGTAATGGTTGTATGTATTAACATAAAAATTAAAATATCACCCAAAAAACATTTTAAATTAAATTTGCTTAAAACAATTTTTATTGACCACTTGGAAACTTAAAAGCTTAAGGAAAGGCAACTGGTTTCTATAACTTTGCCTGTAATTTTTGGTCAAGGGCTTGACATGTCACTTGACATGTCACCAGATTAAGGTAAACAAACCTGAAAATGTCACTGTATTTGACTATGTTGCGATCCTGTGTTAAATGTAACCAAGACTACTTAGTGTTTCAGTATTTTTTTATGTATTCTACTTTTTCAATCAAAGAATATGAAAATTTGTCTCTATATTTGTTTTTTTTGCTTGTTCATTTGTTTCTATGTTCCATTTAAGATGCAGCTGTAAATAAATATCTACATTAAATGGTAAGATGTTTCAATTTTAGTGAACACTTTGAATACATATATAAAAGTCGCATTTGAAAAGGTGATTATGTAAGTTAAAAATTTTTAAGAATTATAGCCAAAGCTTGAAAGTTGGACTTACATTACTGAAAAGGTCTGAATTTGCTTCTGGATGTTCGTTTCCTTCCGACATGTTGGAATCCGGAGGAAGACTGGGACTGAAGGCCATGAGGTCCGTCTTGGGCAGGCCTTCTCCAGAGCACACCCTCTGCCGCTTCTGCTGCGCATATGACCAGCTCCCCACTGCGCTGGGGCACACCAGCATGGGCTTCCCCCGCCCGCACGCGCCCTCATTGGGCGGAGCCGAGCACCGCAGCGCCGTGTACAGCAGCAGCGTGAGCACCAACAGGCTGGACACCGCGCAGATGGCGATGATCAGATACACGTTCACATCCACCAGCGTCGCCTCTGGGCCCGTGACTCCCACCGACATCCGCGACGGAATCTTAGGCGCCTGGCCACTGTCTACCAGCGACAGCATCACGGTGGCTGTGGCCGTTAGCGCCGGCTCGCCGTGGTCCTTCACCAGCACCAGCAGGCGCTGGCGCGGCGCGTCCGCCTCGTCCAGGGCTCGCGTCGTGCTGATCTCGCCCGTGTACAGCCCCACGCGGAACGGGCTGTGAGCGCCCCCCGCCTCCGGCCGCAGCTCGTAAGACAGCCACGCGTTGTAGCCCGAGTCCGCGTCCACAGCGCGCACCTTCGCCACCACGTGGCCCGCACCCACAGAACGCGCCACCGGCTGGCTCACCACGCCGCCCCCGCTGCCAGCCCCCGGCGGCAGCGCTGCCAGACCCAGGTGGCAGCAATGCGGGCGCGTTGTCGTTCTCGTCCAGCACGAACACCTGCAGCGTCACGTTGCTGCCCAGAGAAGGCACGCCCGCGTCGCGCGCGCTCACCTGGAACTGCAACAGCTCCAGCTCCTCGTGGTCCAGCGGCTGCAGCGCGTACACCTTGCCGCTCTCCGCGTGCACCGACACGTAGCTCGACAGCGCACGCTCGCCCACGCGCCGCTCCACCAGCGAGTAGGACACCAGCGCGTTCTCCTGCGCGTCCGCGTCCCGCGCAGACACCGTGAAGATGTGGCAGCCGGGTGGGTTGTTCTCCTTCACGAACACCGTGTACTCGGGCTGCGCGAACTCAGGCGCATTGTCGTTCACATCGGCCACCTCCACAGTCACGCTGGCGGTGGCCGACAGCGAAGGCGAGCCCCCGTCCCGCGCTGTCACCACCAGCTCGTAGGTCGCCACGCTCTCGCGGTCCAGGGCGCTGTCCAGCACCAGCGAATAGTAATTCTTGAAAGTGGAAACCAGCTTGAAGGGGACATGAGGTGTCAGGGCGCATATCACCTTCCCGTTAACACCGGAGTCGTGGTCGGACACGGAGATGGAGGCGATGACGGTGCTGAGTGGAGAGTCCTCTCTGATGGTCAAAGACAGGGACATGACTGCCAGTTCTGGAGCATTATCGTTTACATCCAGAACTTTCACTAAAACCTTGCAGTGACTTGACATTGGAGGACTTCCTTTATCAACTGCTCTTACCCGAATTTCGTAGGATTTTGTTTCTTCATAATCCAATTGACCAATTAGCCAAATTTTTCCTGAGCTGGAATCAATTTTGAAGTACTTTTTAATGTTAAGAGGAACATCACTGCCAAAGGAAAAGACAATTTCTCCATTTACACCTTCGTCAGCGTCAGAGGCATTTAATGTGGTCACTAATGTTCCATTTGCCGTAGTTTCTAATAAGTGGACTTTGTACACGGCCTGGGCAAACAATGGTGCGTTATCATTAACATCAAGCACTGTGATCAGCAATTGAACTGTACCTTCCAGCTCTGGTTTGCCCCCATCGGTGGCTGTCAATAATAAACGAATTTGTGGTGTTTTTTCTCTATCCAAAGACTTCCTCAACTCCAGCGAAAGTGACTTACTCAGCTCATCATTTGCCTGTACATCCAAAGAGAAATAATCACTGGGGCTGAGGGTGTATGTTAGAAGAGCGTTGGTACCAATGTCCGCATCAGCAGCACCCTCTACCGGGAAACACGAATCCAGCAGTCTACTTTCAGGAATAAATAATCTTTGTTCTCTCTCTCTGAAGACTGGTGGATTATCGTTAATGTCCTTCACCTCCACCTCCACATGGAAAACCTGCAGCGGCCTCTCTATGATCACCTCCAAGTGGATGCTGCACTCCAGGCTCCGCCCGCACAGCTCCTCGCGGTCGATCCGAGAATTCACAAACAAAATGCCATTCTGCAGATTTACCTCCAGAAAGTCCTCACTGCCTTTGGACGCCACCCGGAACAGGCGCGGCACCAGCTCCTGCAGCTCCAGCCCTAAATCTTGGGCGATGCGGCCCACGAAGGTGCCGTGTTTGGCCTCTTCGGGGACCAAGTAGTGGACCTGGCCACTCCCCGCCTTCCAGGCTGCAAGGAGCAGAAACGAGAGCAGCAGGCGCTGGGCTTCCTTGCCCCCTCGCCTGGGAAACAGCATCTCAAAAGCACCACACCTTTCGTACCTCTCTCACCTGACTTCAAAATCATGCTTTTTCACTTCATATTTTCAATAATTTATCTCCTTTGCGTTTTTGTCTTCTCTCGGGCAGTGACAAAATGGAGCTTCCTTCTTTAGTTTTGATGATCAGTACATTTCCATTGACTAGAGTTTGTGGTATACAGCGACATCATGTGGCTGATGCTGTAGATTTTAGATCCATTCATTGATTTACAAAATAGTCTCTATATTCATTTGCATTTTACTCAATGCAATCATTTTCAATTTTATGTCCTTTTAAAGACCCAGACATTTCAAATGTCACTTTAAAGTATGTAATTCGATATTTTCCTTCAGCTGTTTTCACAAAGATATTACAATTGGATTTTGGGAAAATCAAAATATGTATAAATAACCTTATATCTTCTTATTTAAAACAATCTATCAGCTCATATATTTTCATTATTAAATATTTGTAATTGAATATTGGGGATTTCAAATAAGGCATTTTGAGCACTAAAATTTACCTTATTTTAGGAAAGTTTCAGTATTTATTTTTTTAATGATATGTCATTACAGGTACTTACATACGAAATTTTTAGAAAATTTTATGAAATATATTTAATATTTATAAAATGTGTGATCAATGACATTGTTTTCTGATACTTTAACTCTTAGAATAATAATATTTGGGACATTTTTCTTTTTTGCTTGTTATTAACATCTAGTGCTGACCTTATAACTTTGACCTCCAAAATTCATTATTCCAAACGAAATTAGTGTCCATTGGTCTTTCTGTATTCCTACATCAAATTTCCAGCTGTACATTTTTTCTTATTATATAAATATTGAATCAATATCAAATACATATACCTGAGAATTTGAAAATAATCCATAGTCAACATTTTAAATGTAAATCTAATGCGATTAGGTTTTCAGAAGAAACTATTTGAGAATAACATATTAATAAACTTTTTCAACTTTAGTCCAATTCATAATCAGAATCCCATAGCTAAATCAAATTTGACTGTGTCATCTTAATAAACTATGACTAGTCAATTTTTTAAAGAATATCCTTAACATTTCTATTTTAAGTATTATGGACATTTAAGGATAATAATATTAATAAGAGTTAATCTATTATGTCTCCTTAATCAGAAAACCCAAATCATTGTTTAAATTGTTAATTAATAGATGAAATATGATGCTACTTTATTTTTCAAAAACAGATTATAATTTTAACAGTTCAGTATAGTAATTACTTTATTACAAATGTACAGTAATATAAGATACATCAATATCCTCTTATTCTCAAAATGAAGCAAATTCAGAACTTGGAACTTTTCTAAATGTCAGTAGATTGAAGCAAATTCAGAACTTGGAACTTTTCTAAATGTCAGTAGATTTAGACAATATTGTCAATATTGTCTACTTTAATGTGTACTTTAATGTGTTATAAGTTTCTTTGGGATATATTTTATTTCTATGAAGAAAATATAGAATAAAGGCTAATCACAATCCACTGTCATTAGAATATTTCAAACATAAGTCTGTTGGATTAAACATACTTTGCTTTCTACAATTAAAAGCTTATTTTACCTTAAAAATATCTATATTTAACTGAAAATTATAAAATTATCATTCATTAATATTGAGAACTATAGTGATCTTTAAATATAATTTTAACCAAAAACCATATTGTAGTTTCATCCTGTCTTTCTTTTGATGAAAACTGCTCAATTTGAAGATAGTCTCAATATTTGAAAAATGTCATTTACAATGATCGGATGACACTTAGTTGAAACAAAACAATAGTTAAACATGGACTTCATTATCATCGTAGTGATCATGAAAATAAAAGGCTACATGATACTACCCTCAAGGGGGAAAAATGAGAGTATAATGCCTTGAAAAAAAGTATTATGAGACAGAGCTGTTAAAAGAGCAGAGTGTATGCTATTGCAGTTAAGTTGGTATGAACCCAAATGAGAGTGTTATAACTTTAATATATTGAGTATAATCTCCATGGTAACCACAAAGAAGTTAGCTGTAGAATTTAAATAGACCTGTAACCCGTAAGGAGATTAAATAAGCAATTTATAAAATCCGACAAAGAGAAATCATTGACCCAATGGCTTCACTGGTGAATTCTACCAAACATTTAAAAAGGAAATAATACCAATCCTTCTCAAACTTTTTCAAAAAGTTGGAGAGGAGAGAACACTTTCTAACTCATTCTGTGGAGCCAGCATTATCCTGATACCAAAGCCAGACAAAGACAATACAAGAAAATAAAACTACAGATCAATATCCTTCACAAGCATTGATGCTAAAATCCTCAAAAAATATTAGAAAACAGGGTTCAATAGCATTTTAAAGAGATTATACACCATGAGCCAGTGAAATTTATTCCTGGAATGCAAGAATGTTTCAACATAAATAAATCTATCAATATAATACACCACATTAACAGAATGAAGGAACAAAAACCCACACGATCATATTAAGAGATATGTAAAAAGCATTTGACAAAATTCAATAACTTTTCATGATAAAAACACTCAAAATCTTAAGAACAAAAGGAAATTATCTCAACATAATAAAACACCATATATGAAAAACCCAGAGTGAACATCATACTCAATGGTGAAAGACTGAAAGCTTTCTCTCTAAGATCAGGAACAAGACAAGGATGCCTGTTTTCACCTCTTCTACTCAACATAGTAATGGAAGTTCTAGACAGAGCAAATAGGCAAGAAATATAAATAAAAGGCACCCACTCAAATTGGAAAGAAAGAAGTAAAATTATCTCTATTCACAGATGATATAATCTTTCATGTAGAAAACCTTAAAGATTACCTAAAAAACTTAAAAGTAATGAAGTCAACAAAGTATCAGGAAACAACGTCAACACACAAAAATCAGTTACATCACTATACACTAAGAATGAACATCTAAACAGGAAATGTTTTAAATTTGCATTTAAAATATCATAAAAAATACTTAGGAATTAATTAACTGAACAGAAAGACTTGTAGGATAAAAAATACAAAAACATTTCTGAAAAAATTAAAGAACATATAAATAAATAGAAAGACATCCCATGCTCATGAATTGGAAGACATTATTATTATTTATTATTATTATTAATTCAATAATACCCAAATTGATCTACAGACTTAATGTAATCACTATCACAATGATTTTTTAACAGAAATAGAAAAACCCATCCTAAAATTTGTATGGAATCTCAAGGGACCCCAGTAAATATCAGAGAAAAATTCTCTCATGCTCTGGAAGTGGGAGAGAAAAGAAACCATTTTGAAATACTCAGAGCATTCCGTTCTTTTTGACAAGGGCTTCCCTTAGGGGAAACTAATTAGTGAGAGACTAATAGATTGGGGTATTATCAAAGCCTTACTGACTCAAAGGAATGGAAATACCAAATTCCAGCAGGCTCTAATCTCCCATGAGGGAAAAGAAAAATACCCAGCTCCAGTACATTCTAGCCATCCTGTCCTACCTAGTGTGGAGGAAAAAAAAAAAACAAGAAACACGTGTGAAATTCACAGTCCAAAAGCATAGGCTCACTAAAAGACTGAGACTTAATCATAGGACTATAGAATACTTTCCCTCCCCCGACACCTTACCATCACACATTATTACTGGCCTATTTACAGCAGTTCCTTGTACCCTGTATATCATATTCGGTGATCAAGAAAAAATTACAAGTAATACCAAAAAGAAAAAAAAAACACAACCATAATTTGAAGAGACAGAACACACATCAGAACCAGACATGACAGGCATGTTGAAATTATCAGGTGGGGAATTTAAAACAACTATAAGTAATGTGCTAGGGGCTCTAATAGATAAAGTATACAGAATGCAAGAACATATGGGTAATGTAAACAAAGAGATGGAAATCCTAAGAAAGAACCAAAAAGAAATGATAGAGGTAAAAAAAAAAAAACTATCAGAAATGAAGGATGCCTTTGATGGACTTAGTAGACTGGACATAAATGAGGGAAGAATCTTGAAGCTAGGGGATAAATTAGTAGACTCCTCAAAACCCAACAAGCAAGAAGAACAAAGACTGAAAATACAAAGAAGAATATCCAAGAACTGTGGGACAGCTATAGAAGGTATTATATACATGTAATGGGAATATCATGTCAAGAAAGAGAGGAAGGAACAGAAGAAATATTTGAAAGAATACTGACTGAGAATTTACCCAAATTAATGTCAAACACCAAATCACAGATCCAGGAAGCTCAGCTAACATCAACTAGGATAAATGGTAAAAAATCTACAACTTGGCATATCAATTTCAAACTAAAGAAAATCAAATATTTTTTTTAAATCCTGAATGAAGCCACAGAAGGAAAACACCTTTCCTGTAGAGGAACAAAAATAAGAATTGCATCTGAATTCTTATCAGAAACCATGAGAATTTTCTCAACTTAATAAAGAGCATCCATGACAAACCTACAGCTAACATTATACTTGGTAATGAAGGATTAGATCCTTTCACCCTAAGACTGGCAACAAAGCAAAGATGTCTGATTTCACTATTTTATTTAGCATAGTGCTAGAAGTTCTACCCTGTGTAATAAGGCAAGAAAAGGAAAAAAGAGGCACACAAGTGAGAAAAAAAGAAACAAAACTGTCCCTATTTACAGAAGACACAATTGTGTACTTTAAAATCCCAAAAAAACAAAATAAAAAACCTCCTAGATAAGTGAGTTCAGCAATGTCACAGAAAACAAGATAAACATGCAAAAATGAATTGTATCCCCATAAACTAACAATGAAAATATACATACAAAATTAAATTTAAAATACAATTTATATTAGCTCAAAGGTACAAATGTAATAAAATATGTACAGGACTTATATTCAGAAAATTACACAACACTGATGAAAGAAATCAAAGAATATCTAAATAAATGTAGAGATGTGTTTTATTCACAAATTGGATGACTCAAGATGTCATGAGG